ATAATAATAATAATAATAATAATAATAATAATAATAATAATAATAATAATAATAATTGCAAGCACTGAAGCGATACCGTTAACACCATCACACAACATCTGCCTATCCCAGGTCCTTGGGAAGGATTCGATGGGTGGACAAAAATGCCAAATCCAGTCTAAACATCTGGCTGACTGTGGACTAACCATCATCATCATAATTTAGCCTTGCCCTGCTACTCCTCTCCTTTTGGAGAGCTGGTCTCCCTTAATTTGAAGATTCCTCAACGGGTAGCTTCAGTGCTCACAAATACTTATAATGTTTGCAAGCTCCAAAAAGCAAGGTCTTTGCATGAGTGAAAGGCCAGATATTGGATATTTCAGACATCCTCAAGCCCTGGGTTAGGTTGCCATCAAATGCCACCAGGTACAGTGTGGTAAAATTTTGTTGTGTTCTTCCTTTAAAGAGGCAGTCCCTGGTGAAGGATCAGTGCTTTCTCTCTGCTACTGAATGTCTACAGAAGCTGATGTAAGTGGCCAGCAAACGCTGTTCTACCATTAGGTTCATACATTCACTTGATCTGTGACTTGTTTTTAAAACAAGAAACTTGCTGAAGAAGCCAGAATGGGGTAGTATTGCACCACATTAGTCCCAAACTATGGTTTATAAACCAGAATATTTTGGTTCACACATTGCACCAAACTGCATTATGGTATATGAACACAGTCTGTTTTAGTTTTACGGGTAGTCCTCGCTTAACAACCACAATAGGGATGGAAAAATTCATTGTTAAGCAGGGCGGTTGTTTAGCGAGTTGCGCCCAATTATACAACCTTTCTTGCAGCGGTCGTTAAGCGAATCACATGGTCCTTAAACAAATCACACAGTTCCCCATTGATTTTGCTTGCTGGAAGTAGGCTCGGAAGGTCGCAAATGGTGATCACATGACCCTGGGACGCTGCAACCCTTGTAAGTGTGAACTGGTTGCCAAGTGCCCAGATTGTGATCATGAGACTGCGGGGATGCTGCAACGGTTGTAAGTGCAAGGACCAGTTGTAAGTCCCTTTGTTCAGCACTGTTGTAACTTGAACCGTCACTAAACAAATGGTTGTTAAGTGAGGACTACCTGTACTTTTTGCATCTGGAGGGAAAGGCATGGGCATAGTCCTTTGCCTCTTGATCCTCATAATAGCCCTGTGAGGTTGGACCTGTATAAATTGCATAACTTGTGTCGTCTAATAATATCGATTTCTGAGTGCTAAATAAATGAAATGCCCCTCCCCCCAGAAATCTCTAAGGTCTCACTAAGTTTTCCCATAAAATTCTCCCTTGTGCACGTCATAGGGACTAGCAACTTGCCTGCTTGTAAAAATGCAAATTAGGATCACTAAGACTCTTGATTCTGCCCCCAGTCTAAATAGTGACCCTTGAGGGTAGAATTGTAGGATGAATGTGTCTTTTGGCTTCCCATGTATTTTACATGATTGGCAGTCTTTTTTCTCTACTCACCTCATCCTCCCTGGCAGCACTACTGTTGACCCCCAGGAAAAACTGGACATTCTCCAAAAGACGTACGAGGAGATCGAGAAAACGATAAACCGACTGCTGGGGAAGGAATATAATCTGCCGATGGATGACCTCCTACCTCTGCTGACCTACGTGGTCACCCGCGCCAGGTGAGAAGACGCTTTGGTGGACTGCAAGGGGGGGGGACGGCCCATGGGCCACCCAGCATCCCATCCATGGAGCACACGGCTGGAACTGGGTGCCAAATGGTAAAGGGTCAGCCTGTGAAAAAAAACCCCAAAACCCCAAATGGACTCTTTTTGGAGTTTTAAGAGTGGGAATGGAATAGTTTACGTCGTGAAGGACTGCCGGTTCTATTCCCATCCCTAAGACACTTGGCTGGCCCCCTGAATCCTAAAATAATCCCAAGGGCAGGATTGACTGAGGTGATTGGCTTGCTTACAGTTTACGTGATTATCACTGTATTTTTTAATTGATTACCATGACTTTTATGCTGCTTCAGTCTGGCTGGCTCTAGGCGGCTTACAAAGTCAAGCAATGCAGTCAGCAGCAAAATACCACGAGGGTCTCAGCAGGACCATGAAAACAGACTTTTTTCAGCTGTTTGTGCCACAATAAGTTCACTCAAGTGATCCACAGGGTATGGTCAAAAAAGTCAAGATGGGGCCGCAGCGGTGCGATCAAAGCTCCGCCCACTCTTGACTGTTTTGACCACACCCTGCAGACCCCCCTGAGTTTACTGTTGTGAGGTCCTCAGTCTCCCTGTTCTGACACAGTATTTTCCTCTCTTCTAGCATCCAACATTTAGGAGCAGAAATTCATTTGATTAGAGATTTGATGGATCCTACAAATGAAGGTGGCTTGCATGATTCCCCCCTCACAGCGCAAGAGGAAGGAAGGAAGGAGGGAGGGAGGGAGGGAGGG